CCACACGACACCCCGGCGCGCTAGCCCATCTATCAGCCCTTCCGCCCGGGTTTCTCCCTCATCTTGCAGCCAGCTGAGATCCGATTGCGCTGCAGGCCCCTCCAGGCTGATAGCTCAGAGCCCTCGCACTCACCCGGCCTCCCTTTCCCTCCAGGAACCCCGCTCCCGGTAGAGCTCGGCGCGGTACGTCTAGGCTCTCGCTGCCCTCTGTCCGGCTGGCCCTATCTTTCCCTTCTCCGTTTCTCCACCTCTCTTCCCCATCCCCACTCGCGCGCCCTTTCTCCCGAATACTCCTGTCCCCTTCTCCCCGGCTGTCTGTCCGTCCGAGTCCCCTCCCCCAGCCTCTTCCCGTCCCTCTCCGTCCCCTCCAGTAGCAGTCTACCAGCGCCTCCTCTTTCCTCGAGCTCGAGATTCGGAAGAGCATGGAAGGGAAGGAGAGTGAGAGGCAGAGAAGAGGGGGGGAAAAAAAGAAAAAAAGAAAAAAAAAAAAAAACCAACCCAGCAGCATCGGAAATCGATGCACTTACACCTCAGCTGGAAGCAGGGACGGGAGTCGAACCGCGGCCGCCAAGCAGCGCCAGGCGGGGAGGGGAGGGGGCGGCTCTTGGAAGGGACTTCTCCGATGTGTTGATTCCTTTTTTTTGCCCCTCCTCCTCCCTCCCTTCAGCGCTCGCTCCGGGGCGTCGGGGAAGGAGATGGAAAAATAAATAAATTCACGGCGGTGAGGGAAGTGAAAGAAAATAATCAATGCTATTTGGCTGCGGCTGAAGTGTTTTCCCGGCTTCGTGAGTGGGTTTCCATTGATTCACCCTGGGCACTGGCTTGCTCCCTGTCTCCTCCTCCTCCTCCTCCTCGCCCTCCTCCTTCAAGCCCTCACTCCTCCGCCTCATTCACTGGCTGGAGCCGAGGCGTCCCACACAATGGAATAATCAATACCCAGGCGCCCGGGGCAGCCCCACTGAGCAGGTGCAGCGACCCGCCCGCCGCAGTGCATGCTGGGAGTTGTAGTCTGTAGGTCTCCGCCCTTCTAGCAGGCTAGTGGAGTCGACGGGTGTCCCAGGACGCAGGAACCTGGGTTGGGGCCAGGATCTTAGGGTGGGGCAGACCGACCATGTCCTCAGGCTTCTTCCTTGACTCAGGCAGTAGGTCTACCCTGTACCTGCAAAAAGGGCAGGTCCCTTAAAAGTCTTGTTCCCTCCTCTTTATCCTGCATACAGAAGTGTGTTTTATTTATTTTTCGAGACAGGGTTTCTATGGGTAGCTTTGGCTGTCCTAAAACTCGTCTGTAGACTAGGCTTCTGCCTCTACCTCCCAAGTGCTGGCTGTTGTTTTATTTTAAATCACCATTGCTTCCCAGAGCCTTCGGGAGGAACATCACCATTCCACTCCCTTCTTCTTCTAGCCTTATCGTTTCTCCCACCCCCGGCTTTTGATTACTAGAACATTCTGTTTCATAGCAATTACTCTGAAGTCTCCCAGTGCTGCTGTGTTCTTAATTCAGTTACACTCCCCCCCGAGTTCGTTAGGGAGATGGGAGGTTTTGGTTCCTTCTCCTCATCAGCTTGTCAGCTCATCAGTGTTTTATATTCTAATTTTTAAGATTCTAAAGCAGAGCCTCGTGTAGTGGCACACGCCTTTAATCTGGCAATTGGGAGGCAAAGGCAGATGGATCTCTGAGTTTAATGCCAACCTGGTCTACAGAGCAAGTTCTAGGACAAGAGCTACACAGAGAAACCCTGTCTCAGGAGGAAAAAAAATCTAAAGTGGAGTATACAGGATTTCATTTTATACTAGAGGAAAACAAGGTTTCCTAGCTGAAGATTGCATGACTAATAAACAATAGTACGATGATGCAAACCTCAGTGGTCTGACTCCAGAGCCCAAGCTTGCTGCTGTGGCATATTTTCTTACGGGACAACAATAACAAAAACTACTGAAATTGAGGGTGATTATGAAACCAATATTTTGAGTTTCTACCATGTAACAGTAAAGTTTGTTACTGACTCTTCAATCCTCATTAAACTATGAGGCAGGTGGAGTAGCATGTCCAAGAGTAAGGGTCTACTAAAGAGAACGTTCCACCTAATGAGAAGAGCTGGGGTTGGGGACTGGTTTCTCCCCACTCAGATCGTTGGCTTCACTTTTCAGTTTTGTTGGCCCAGAAAGCACTGGTATTTTCTGTGTTCTATAAGATCCAACCTCATAGACCAGAAGCAGGAGTTTGTTTAATGCCATCCTAAGTTCAAAATGCCATGTCTGTAAATGCCAAGTTCCCATAATGCTCCCTGCCTGTCTCACTCTTAGCTCAGGAGGGGCTGGAAAACAGTCTGTAGCTCAGGCTCTCCTCAAGCTGTGATCTCTTGCCCCAGCTTCCCCGAGAGTGGGAAACCAGGTGCCCAGCACTCTGTCTGACTACTGTTTGTACTCCTGACAAAGCCACCTCAGGGACTGTCGGACTGAGTCTGGCACTCACTCATGGCTTTTTCCACCTGCCACTCAATTGCACTTCAAGCCATTGTCAGCTTAGATATTGGCTAGGTGTTGTAGCTACATTCTGTGCCTTTACCCAGGCAGTTATTCCCACCTAGGTCTTCAGAAAGCCATCCTATTCATTCATTCATTCATTCATTCATTCTTACTCTCATTAAAAAAAAAATATGTACCAGTGTTTTGTCTGTAGTACAGGACGATGTCAGAAGAGGGCGTAAGAACCCCCTGTAATGGAGTTAAAGAGGTTGGGATTTGCTCTGTAAGTGCTGGGCAGGTAATCCCAGAGCTCTGTAAGCACAGCAAGTGTACTTAAGTGCCGAGCATCCATTACTCCAGCTGTCCCATCACATCTCTAATTGACATTCTGCCGGGAGCCAAACCCAGGAAACTACCTGCTGCCCTAAGAGAACCTAGGAAGTTACCTGCTGTTCTAGAAAGCCTAGTCAGTACAAGGTTAATAAAGGACGTTCACACCAGGCAGTGGTGGCACACGCCTTTAATCCCAGCACTTGGGAGGCAGAGACAGGCAGATTTCTGAGTTCCAGGCCAGCCTGGTCTACAGAGTGAGTTCCAGGACAGCCAGGACTACACAGAGCAACCCTGTCTCGAAAAAAACAAACAAAAAAAGGACAAGGACGTTCACAGGTCTCAGGCCTCAGGAACTTAAAGAACGTCTGGCATTTCCTGGGAGCTGGTTATGACAATGGGATGGTCTAGGGCAATAAAGATATGACAGTGGGATGGTCTAGGGCAATAAGGATTCAATAGTGAGATAGCCCTAAGCAATGACCCTCACCCAAACTTCCTGGTTTGCTGTGTCTTTATAACCTGCACCCAAAATTAAAGTTTCAGAGCTTGATCAGAACCCCCGACGTGTGCGATCAAACGTTGCTTCCACAGGGACGTCCCACACACATAGAATCTCTCTCTGGAGAGAAGAGAGAAGATTCACACTGTGATCGCCACAGAGTCACCCGCCTGTGAGATTGATCCGGTAAAGGTAAGAAAAAGCAACACAATCATTGGGACAAGCATTAACCAAACATGATTTTCTCTTAAAGGGTCTCAAGGAGTCCCTCAAGGCACGAGGAGTAAGGGTTAAGAAAAAAGGATTTTTAAAAAAAATTTCATTGATGTTTCCCCAAGAAGAGACTATCGATGAAAAAACGCTACACCTCCTAAGGAGGAAATAGAAAGATTAAACCTTGAAGATGAGGGAGAGAAAGGGCTAAAGCAGATGTCCGCTCTCCGCCATGTTAACAAAAGAAAAGGAAAAGGCTATTTTAGAGCCCTCCTGGGAGCAGGAAAAAATCAGGAGACGTCCTGCATTTTTTCTGGCTCATATGGGAGAGATCCTCAGTTCTGCTTTTTCTGTCTATTGTTTGTCCTTGGAGCTCCAATCTGTCCAATATGTGTCAATTGTCTGTTTTTGTTTTGTTGCTTGAATATTGGTCTGTGTTTCATGTTTAAAAGAAAAATGGTTAAACTTTATCCGCTGGTTGTTCAGTCCTTGATTCAGTTTTTAACTAGTTGAGAGAGAGAGAGAGAGAGAGAGAGAGAGAGAGAGAGAGAGAGAGGAGA